AGACGGGGGCTGGTTTTTCCACCATGACAGAGCACCAGTTTTTGGCAAAAAATGCCAGGTCTTTCTTGCCCAGTGCACCTGACTCACCTGACCCTGCTCCATGCAACTTCTTTTGTTTCCGCAAATGCAGAGGAACATGAAAGGACAGCAATTTGACATAGAAGAGGTGAAGAAAAAAATGAAGGAGGTGCTTTCAGCCATCCAAACATGAGTTTGATAAATGTTTGCAAGAATGGAATCACAGATTTGACAAATGTGTTAAGTGTAATAGAGATTGCTTTGAGGGTGATAAGGTTGTTTTGTAAAAAAAAATGTAAATACTGGTTTTGGGAGGGTGTACCCCCTTGTATATTGATACATATTTAATATACCATATATATTGCCCTCATTGGGTGATCCTGACAAAACTAGTTTGGAGGAAAATCAAAACTATTAGAGAAATATAGTACTTTTCATATCTGATTGCAAACAATTAGCTCTAGAATCCATACAGGTAACTCAGCTATGTTAGGATATAGTGTTTCCACAGACTTTCTGTTCTTAGACATGCACTACATAATCTCAGCATGGTTAATTCGTAGAAATTTTTAAGTTTAGTATGAGCAAGGATACCTGATTTTTTTTACATCTGGGCATTTTTCAGTAAAGTTGGGCATTCCTTGCACAAACAATAAGCCAGATAAATAAGAAATAAATAATATTGCTTGACAAGTGGAAATTGGGGGGGGGGTGCGGAAGCAAGTGAATCCAATTAAATTGATAAATGTAACTTTTACTAGGTAGAGATAATTACAACCAACCCTTCTCTTTTACAGTGATTTTTTTTTCTGACAAATAGCCTAAACAACCTGTTTTACTTAAAGCCACTAGAATATTTTCCTAAACTTGCTCAAAAACAATGTTCAACTATGGCAGAATCAAAGATTCTTAAAAATGATTTGGCTTTAAAGATGGTGATACAGACACAGTGCTCACACTTAGAAATCATTTCAAAAGAAGAACACTTCATATGCGTTTTCCTGGAATTGATGTTTTCAGTCATTAAATGTACCCTTATTATTAATGATAATAATAAACATCATTGTAAGGTGAAGTAACTATTAGTGCCTTGCTGATTGCCCACTAACTAGATGAATCCCTTCCTATGTTTATTTAAATTTATTCTCACAGGGGAGTTTGTAGATAGCATGGTTTAGAATGGGAAGAATAAATTTCAGTACCAAAACTTTGACTTAATAAATAACACCTCCACACAGGAATAAAAAATGCTATGATATGGGTTGTTTCTATGGTGAAGATTTTATAATATTTACTTTATCTTGGTAAGAGTTATAAGTGGAGTTCTATGCTGTTTGTTCAGCCTATTATGCAGATGGTGCTTGATTAAAATCTATTTTAAACTACAGCGATTACTGCGAGATAGTGTGCATTAAACAGCCCTCCCAGCTCCATTAAGGGCTCTGGGACTGCTCCAGTTTATTTTAAATATGCTTATACATGTTTATAACTTCTCTGAGGACATTTCAGCATCAGGGATTCTTTTTCTTTGATAGTCTGTATTCCTGGGAAGTATAATCTAACAGCATTGTTAAAACATGCTTCTTTAAAGTGAAAGATTGGTGTTTCTTATGATAACTAGGTTAAATACATCACTATAATTAAGCAATAAAGCATGACAAGATGTGGATTGCCAGAAGTCTAAGAACACCTCAAAGGATTTTTAAAATACATTTTTAAAAGTAAATTACATGAAGTACGTGCATCTGTGTAAAGTTTCGGTGAGAGTAACATTTGTGTTTGTGTATATATTTATGTATTAGTGGTTTCACTCATTCCAAAATGAGCCCTTGTAATCAAGGCCACAAAGTAGAGCCTCAGCTCAGCTGTGCTTTTAGTGACGATTATTTTTTTATACAGTGTTTTAATGTGCTTCATATGTTTTCTTGCCTTGTCATTCTAAGCCTCAGTCTAGTGCTGTAGAAGGAGAAAGTGAAAATGTGTGACCATCCTCTATGCAAGTCACAAATGCTATAAAGGATATAAAGAGAAGACATTGTCCTTACTTTCAATATGCTCCTAGTTGCGTCTCAAAATCCAAACTCACTGACATTGAGTCGATGGCAACTCCTAGTGACCCTACAGGACAGAGTTCGAACTGCCCCCTGTGAGTTTCCAAGACTGTAGCTGTTTCTGGGCGGAGGAAACCAGCTCTTTCTCAGGTGGAGCAGCTGGTGGTTCAAACTGCAGACCTTGCAGATTGTAGCCCAACCCGAAATCACTACCCACCAGAGTTTTATTTTTGCACTATATCGTTTCTTCTGCATCCTAAAGATTATAATATCAGCATTACATTTTAATCTCTAGTCTTAAAATTCTCATAACTTTAGAAAATTTCTCCTGTAGAACAGTTATGTTCAATACAATAGCCAATATCTATCTCTAACTACTTATTAGATCCCCCAATACAAACTCACAAGACAAGAGGTTTTAACACAAACATCTTAGAACTCTCTCCCAATTCTAATGGGTAGAGGAGGATGCCCCTAAAGGCATCCTCAGGGCAAGAGTAAAACCCATAGAGTATAATGTCATGCAACCCATGGGGGAAAGGACACTCACAGAGAAACTTCACCAAATCGCCATTGGATTTGGTAACGTGACCACTGGTGACCCTATCAAGATTCCAGGACCAGAGGGAATGCATAGTGAGGTGAATTACAGGAGCACACACAACCTCCTGAAGGTTTGTTGTAAAGAAAAGGAGAAAGAGATGACCATACAGAACTTTGGATCACAGAGAACGTTTGTGTGCTAGTTGCTCTGACTCTCAAAACATTTAGATGCCACCTTAGTTAACTGGAGTTACCAAATCGAAACACCCCGAGGCTCAGGGCCATGAAGGCTTAAAGCCCAAGCAGGGTATGAGCCATGTGGATTCTTTCTTTAAGCCTCTCTGCTAGTTTTGGTGCCTTTCAGTAATCCTCGACATTCTTTGTAAATAGGTCTTCAAATATTGTGTGCACACTGTGTGCACGTGTGTCTCTGTGCTTACTCTGTGTTTGTTTTGTTAGGAACTGAGAAATAATTTTATATGGTATCTGCCCTACAGTAGAATGACCTCAACTGATTAATCACACCACACTATATTGCATGGTGGAAAGTAATTGGCTCAGCCCAAAGGCAAATCATCTAATTACATGTAACTCTACCATGGCTAACGGAACCCTGGTGTTGTAGTGGTTATGCGTCGGGCTGCAGTCCACATGATCTGCGGTTTGAAACCACCAGCAGCTCCGTGGGAGAAACACAGGGCTTTCTACTCCCGTAAACACTTAGTTCCCGAAACCCACAGGCGGCCGCTATGAGTCAGCATTGACTCGATGGCAGTGAGCTGCCATGGCTGTAGCTAGACTGATATTTGGCTGAACTGGAGACCGTAGCTTAGCCAGTTACAACCAAGTGAGAAGAGCACAGTTTAGAGGGAGTGACTGCGTCAACGGCTGCCCTTCCCTCCACATCTTGACTTCAGGTTATTTAAAGGCTTTCCGGGTGATTCTCATGTGATTCTCGTGCACGGCCATATTGAGAGACGCAAGTTCTCCAAGCCCTTTATGTCACCAATGGGGTCGATTTTTATCTGAATAAGATATAGATAGTTCACTGTATTGGGAGGATTAAAAACAACAGCAACCACAAAAATATAAGGTAAGGAGGCAAAACATTCAATAATCATAGTAACTACTAGAAAATAGTGTCCTTGGGGCATTATGATGATGACAAAGGCATCATGAGAGGGATTTGATCAGATAACAGAACTGGTTCCTATACTGTAGACTCATGTCATTCTATATCTGAAAGAAATCCTAGCCGAAAGCTGAGATAATATTAAAACAGAACCTTATAATATTCAAATGCATGTATCTTAATTATGTTCAATGTTGTTCTTTTCCATTTCTATTAGAATAACAATTTCATTTATCCAGATATTTGTGCTTGAGAAAATTTGACTACATTTTAAAACTGAACATAACACTGCTCAGAAATCTCTAGAATCTAGTTTCTTTCTAGATATGCACCCTTCAATATAGTAGCCACGGTCTCCACGTGGCCATTTTAACTAAAATTAAATTTTACATGTAGTTCTTCATTCACACCAGCCATATTCCAAGTACTCAGTAGCTCCATATTGAATAATGCAGATTTTAGAAATGTTCCATCATTTCAGAAAGTTCTGCAAGACAGCACTGATCTAGAGTACTGAATATGATCATCTTTAATGTCACTGCATTGCTAAGATTCACGGAAATATTCCATAAACCTAAATGTAAAATCAAGTATGCATTCAGCTTTATTAATTACTGTCTTTAAAATCATAATTTGGATGACAGGATCAACTCAGAAGAACATTAATTAGATTAATTATCAAACAGTGTTAGTACAAGAGAAATTCCCTGCTGTCTTAGTTGTAGTTAAAGATAAAAAGAAGATGGATAATCAAGGAATAATACTTAATAGTGTAGTAATATTATTAAGTGAGTTCACCAAATTATTTTAAAGCTAAGTCAACTGAGTTAGGAGAATAATAATTGAGCATATGTGAAATATGAAGCGCTCGCTGAACAAAATGCAATAGTAATAACTCCACTTAAAAGACATCTGTGTCTTTGTGATTTGTGGGTGAGTATGTGAAAGTTGCAAATGAAAGCAGCAGTTGGTGTTGGCCCCCAATTTCCTCACTTTTCCTGTAGTTCTATATGCATAGCCCCTAAGTGGCACTAAAGATTGAGGATTTGGCTGCTAAGCCAAAGGTTGGGGGTTTGAGGTCACCGAGTGTTGCCTTGGAAGCCAAGGCTGGTGAACTGCGTCTGGAAGGTCAGGTCATTGAAGACCCATGAAGCCCAGGTCTACTTTGCCACACATAGGATTTACCATATGTCAACATCAACTTGAGAACAGCTGGAGGCGTTTTTGTTTTAATGATACTTTGCTTTGTATTTTAGATCAGTGGTGGAGAGAAGCGACCTGCCTCTGACATGGCAAAAAAACAAAAAACCCCTAAGAAAAAGAAGAAGAAGGATCCAAATGAGCCCCAGAAGCCCGTGTCCGCCTACGCACTATTCTTTCGTGACACCCAAGCGGCCATCAAGGGCCAAAATCCCAATGCTACCTTTGGCGAAGTCTCCAAAATTGTGGCTTCCATGTGGGATGGCTTAGGAGAGGAGCAGAAACAGGTAAGAAGCTCCAAGTTAGGTGGAAATCCATGTGACTTAAAGAAATGATTGCATCCTGAAAAATGATTTCTGAGTGCCGGGGTAAATTCTTCTGTTCCTAGAATTAAGGCTAGACTTTGTGGAACCTTTACATAGCTTTAGACTCATTTATTGCTCTTCCATAAATAGCATGTCAATGTATTTATTTCAGTTTACATAGCGTAGTTTCTTTTGGAAAAAAATTCACATATCTTAGCCAGAATTGGCTCCTTCCTTAATATTACCCATGTGAACATAAAAACTAAAAACATTCTGCAAGTGTTTTGAAAACAGTCCACACCTCTCTGCAGCACTTACTTGTCACCCCTTTGTCATTAAATTCCACTTTTCTGTTTGCTAAATGAAGCCCAAATTTAAGAATTTCTATCCTTAGCTATTTCTTTAAGACTGCTGGGGTATGTTCTTCCACCGCTCATATATCTCTAAATTGTGCTAAATAAGGTAAAATGATTGCTTTTCTCCTTCATGGATTGCTGTGATGTGACCAAGGCCTATGAGCAGGGAAGCCGGTGAGACAATTGTCATCTCAGCCACTGCATCTTAAGGAGGAAGGGGTGTCGTGGAGAGAGAATCAGTTCTCCCGCCTCAGCAAAGAACTGCAATGGAGCCCATAGGCCCAAACCTGGAGCAAGATTGCCATTGCTGCCATAGAGAATTGCATGGTCACTGAAAGGAAATTGAACCAGCGTTATTATTAAAATACAAGTAAAGCACATTGAAATGTATATGTAGATGCCACGTTGGCTACCATAATATCCCAAATTGCATTAATGGTATC